CTCATCTTTCATCACCACTCATATTCCCCATTTTTCTATAAAAACTGTACTATGTGTTTCATATAGGTATTTTAAAGTATATATAATCTTGTTAAATATATAATATAGTTGTGGGATAAATGATGTAATTTATATAAAGAGTATAATACTATAAATATTTCATTTCTATTATCAGAATTATGTATGCATTCTAATAGGCCTTGGGAGACTTCTCTGGAGTATATACCAAGAAGTGAAATCACTGAACCACAGAGCAAGCACACATTTTACTGCAATAGAAAAGGGGAGATGGCTTTCCAAGATGACTTAGCTATTTATACTCCTGAGAGTAGTGTATGAAGTTTCTCTTTCTCACATCCTTTACAACACTTGGCATTATACTCTAGTGTAGTCTTTTGTTATCCTGATGTATAATATGCTATTCCTCTCGTGACATAGTTGAAAAAGTAAATTGTTGTTATTTTAAGTCATTGAGAGTGTTCATTACAAAAGCATAACCTGTTGTGATCGATTCAATGGTCATTCAGTTCTCATTCTGCTGCATGTTTAGAGCCACTTTGGTTGGGTGTCACTGCAGTGAATAAGCTCAAGGTGTTTCTTTGGCAATTTGGATACTGAAGGTGTATTTGCTTATTACACTTTACCAGCTACTTAAACTGGAAAGTGAAAAAAAATGCCAGAGTGCAACACCAATCAATAGTGAGCGTACAAAATATCAATTATTATATGTAATCCCTACAATTATGTATATCGGGTTATTATTTTGAAGTTGTTCAACTGTGGAAACTGCTAATACATAGTAGGCTGCTAATTCTCTATTATAGTGGTTATATAAAAACACAGTCATAGTAATTTGCAGAATAAGTTCAATTCTTGAGTATACAATGGCTGAATCAGGTGGATGGAAAGCTTAATTAAAGCAATAATGATCAAAGTATTGGTCAAGAAAGTAAAATTAACCACTACCTTCAGATAGTTACAGAAATAGTTGCAATTCAGTGTCTACTACCATTTGAAATTAAGTAAGAGTAGGGATAAACTGTCACAATTTCAATTAATCATGTCCTTTAATTAAGCATAGCAATGGAAGAGCTACACTGAAAATAATCAGGGTTTATGCAAATAAGTGGGTTAGAAACAGTAGGAAGTAAGCAATTTGCAGGTCAGAAATAATACAGATCAAAAAATAGCTTTTTCCCCCCCTGAAGTTCTACATTTTTTCTTTGTTTTTTATTCTTAACCACAAGCATTTACCTCAGAATAAAACTCCATGGTGTCTTACTCTTTACTGATAGTGGGGTAGTCACTGGAATGTCTTCTTCCTTTGCTTCCCCAGTTGGGCAATGGGATTAATGAATGAGTGTGTCATATATATATAGTTGTAAAAGAGTAAGTTAATTGTGTAAATATAAAGTTGAGGACTCTCTTTTGATTGCGTGACACAGAAAACCAATTTGAACCAGTTTAGGCAATACAAAGGAAAATAAAGTTTCAAGGAGATAAATGAGCTCAAATAATTGCTAAAATTAGGTGGAAATGCAACAGAAACTATCAATTTGTTTCTCATTTATTCCAATTTCTCTATGATAATTTCATTCCTCACCAGAAATTTCTTTATGAGGTTGTAGCCATAGACTCTATATATGTCCAGTTTTCCTTTAGGGAATTAAAAACTTTGTTTCAATTCTAAAATGCCTTGAACAGGACCTTAAATAGCCTTGAGTAAATTACATAATCATCCCTTGCAGAAAAGTGCTGGGCAGGACACTTGCCTCAAAACTTTAATTAAAATACATCATTCTGGTTGGTTAAGAACAAATTAATACCTAAAAATAAGTGTGTATGTGTGTATGGGGCAGAGGTAGACAGTGGGAGTAGATAGCATAGTATGTGTGACTTTTTTAAATTTAAGAGTTGAAAGTTGCTGAAACAAGTTTGGCTCAGTGGAAAGAGTGTTGGTCTAAGGACTGAAGGGTCCCAGGTTTGATTCCGGTCAAGGGCATGTACCTTGGTTGTGGCACAGCCCCAGTGGGGGGTGTGCAGGAGGCAGCTGGTTGATGTATCTCTCTTATCTATGTTTCTAGCTCCCCATCTTTCTTCCTTCCACTCTGTGAAAAATCAATAAAATATATTTTTTTAAAAAGAGTTGAAAGTTGACAGAACTTTCTTATAGATAAGGCACAAGTCTATAACAATAGCAAACAAAAACAATGAATAATCATTGAGACCTTGATTGCCACCAGGAGTAAAAGAAGAGTAACAAAAAGATTACCCAGAGAAAGATCCTCAAGATGTCTGCCTGACTGCCAATTGTCACAGAATTTGATGAAGGACATGGATAATACTCCTCACAGTATAAGGAAAGTATTTTATATTATAAAGGCCTGGTGCACAAAATCATATATGGGGGCGGGGTTGTCCTTCAGCCCAGGCTGCACCCTCTCCAATCTAGGACCCCTTGAAGGGTGCTCCACTGCCCATTTACAGGGATTGGGCCATGGGGGTGTGGCCAGCCTGGGTGACGGGTTGAGGGCTGTTTGTAACCTGGCCACACCCCCTTCAGGGTTGGGGTCTCCACTGGGATGTCTGGCCAGCCTGGGTGAGGGCTGATGACTGTTTACAGGCTGGCCAAGCCCACTAGCAGGGACCCTCACCCCACGGAGGTGTGACCAGCCTGGGTAAGGGGCTTTTGTTCTTTTTCTTTATTTTTCAATGCCTCCTTGAGTGGATGCCAGGGCCAGCTAGAAGCAGGTAACTGGGATTTATTTATCTTCTATCATTAAAACTTGGTAGCCTTGAGTGGAGGACAGGGCTGGCCAGGGAGAGCAGGAAGCTTGGCTTCCTCCATCACCAACCCAAGCCTCCTGCTCACCCCAGCTCTGTAGTGGCCACCATCTTAGTTGGGTTAATTTGCATATTCACTCCTGATTGGCTGGTGGGTATAGCAGAATGATGGTTAATTTGCATGGTTCTCTTTTATTAGTGTAGAAGAGTTGGTGAAAACTGAATATATGAGTTCTATTCTTCATATTGGTGGAGTTGCTTTTATAAAACCACATCTACACTAACAAAAGAGAAAGATGCAAATTGACCATAACTTTACGACGCCCACCAGCCAATCAGGAGCGAGTATGCAAATCAACCCAACAAAGATGGCGGGTTAATTTGCATGCACAGGTGGGCAGGACACAGGTGTTTCATGCCACCCCAGCCGCTCTGGGCAGCATGGGAAAGCAGAAAGGCAGCTCCAGGCTGGAGCAAAGGCTGTGGGAAGGAAGGCCCATTCTGTACAAATCTTCATGCATCAGGTATCTAGTTGCTAATAAAATCATGAGCATTGGAAAAAATAAATGCTTTTTTAATTGTTCAAACTTGTGAAAAGCACCTGACCCTTGAAATGAAATTAAGTAAAGCAGGAGAGCTTCACATTTTAATGAATTTCGCCCTAGGTGCAACTCCCACTTTATTGAGGCACAGGAGGGAATGAAGTTCAAGTAGAAAGCAGCAATCTTTGTGGGATGAAAGGAAGTGATTGTGCTTCAAGACTGTAAGAATGATCAGATGTTGAAAGTAACATTTCACAGTGGGGAAGCCCAAATCTATATACAAATACTCATTATATGCTTCATTGATTCTTAAACTCATCATTTGCAGGATGATATTCTAAGGAATCCTGTAAAAAAAAAAAACAGTAAGTGGGAGGCTAAAAATTTGAGGCACCACAGAAACAAGTAAGGTAGAAGTAATTTAACTGTTTTCCAAAACCAAAAAAGAAAACAAGGTGTATGTAAATAGATGGGAATTTTCAATAGAAAAATAAAAACCCTGTGAAAAAACAAATGCAAGTTTATCTATAATTCACCTACAAAATATGTGAAATTAAGAAATTCAAATTCTAAATGGGCTGAACACAACAAAATATACATCTGTAGTCTAAAAAAAAAATTCAATATACATTTTTTTCTGAACAACAGCAAGAAGGTAAAGTAATAAAATAAAAGAACCTACCTAAGCATTTGATAACTGTGGTATTATGGCAACAGGTAAAATATTTGTATAATTACATTACAGAAAAAGAAGAGACAGATAATGGGGCAAAAGAAAAAGTTTAGGTGATAATAGCTATACCCCTCCCCATAGAATAGATAAAAGATGTCTAACCACATAGCCAAAAATTCAGAAAATCTTAATAAATATAAAGGAGACCAAACGTAGGTCCAAACAGATAAGCTCCTTAAAAATAAAGATAAAAAAAAGTAAATATTGAAAGCAGCAAAAGAAAAAATAGACATAACATATAGGGTAACAAGAATAAAAATGATAGCAAACATCTCATCAGAAACTAAGCAAAACAGAAGACAAGAGAGTGGGATCTTTCAAGGACTGGGAGAAGAGAAAAATTCCTATAGACCTAGGATGTCATACCTAATTAAGAATATCTTTTTTTTTTTTTAATAATGGCAAAATAAAGACTTTCAAACTCAAGAAAGTATAATTTATTGCCAGAAAAACTTTTTAAAATTTCTTCAGGTAAAAGAAAATTGATAATTGATTTAAATTTATATCTATACAAAGAAATAAAGATAATCAGAAATTACAAAGCTTTTTATTTACTAATAAACTTACGTTTTTACTGAAAAAAATAATGACAATATGTTGTGGGATTTATAATTGATATACAGATAAAATTTTGCAGCAGTAAAATATAGACAGGCAAATAGATCAATGAAACAGAACAGTCTACAAATAGACTCATGTATGAAGACAATTGATTTGCCAGAAGAGTGCTTACACAATTCAAAGGGGGAAAATAAAGTCATCAACAAACAGTAGTAAAAAAATAACTTCTGCCCTCACCGGTTTTGCTCAGTGGTTGGAGCATCAGCCTGCAGACTGGAAGGTCCCAGGTTTGATTCCAGTCAAGAGCATGTACCTTGTATGGGATGTGCAGGAGGCAGCTGGTCCATGTTTCTCTCTCATTGATTTTTCTAACTCTCTATCTCTCTCCCTACCTCTCTGTAAAAAATCAATAAAATATATTTTAAAAAATAACTTTGACTCCTATTTCACATCATATATAACTGAATCATAGATATAGATATAAATGCTTGAACTATAAAGCTTCTGGAGGTTTTTATGATTATGAATAGTAGAATATTTCCTATACAAAATTTTAAAAGGCCTATTATAAAATAAAAAATGTATGTATTTGGGCTTCTTATAAAGCAGACTTTCTGCTCAGTGAAAAACACCTGATAAGAAAATGAAAATGCAAGTTTCACAGTTGTAGAAAATAATTGATGTACATATATGACAGAAAACTTGTATATAAAATACTTGTATATAAAAGACTTGTATATAAAATACATAGACACCTACAATTTTTTTTTGACAGGGAGTGTTAATGAGAGTGTTTATAACTTTCTACCAAGACTGGTCAGAAGCTTAGGGGTTTGCAAGTTACAATCTAAATTACCATATATTATTGAAATTATATGGATTTATTTATTTTTTAGTTATTCTACTAAGTAATAGAGTTGTGTTCTGGTCTCCAGCAGAACTTGTAACTATGTTTAGTGTGATCTTAAAAAATATCTATCTACCTATCTGTTTATAATTTTTTGTAGCAAAAATTTGTTGTTTTAATGAACAGGAATACTCTGTGGTTGAAAAAATATTGTAGCCCTGGTAATATGATGTCCTCAATTTAAATAAAAAAATAGTCACATTCTCTAATTTAATAAGGTTATCTCATTATAAGCAAGGCTCTGGATTCTAAGATAATAAGCTTAATGTTAGATTTTCATTAGTGAATGAATTAGTCCTATCAAAGTTAATTCTGTATTGCTTGCTATTAAAATCTTAAGTTTATCTGTTTACGAAGCTTTATGTGGGGTACCTTTGAAAGAAAGAGTCACTTAAAATGAGAACATGAACTGTGAGGACAAAGAACATGTTAAATGCTATGGTACTTAGCAGCATGAGCTTTGTGGCTAGTCACGTCTGTGCAAATTCCCTTATTCACATTCACTTGTTGCTACTGAGCAAGTTGCCACAGACCCTTGAAGTAGCTGCAATTCCTTTCTCCCCAGGTAATCTCATAAGTCATAGAAAGCTCTTCTTCCTAAATAGTCATTACTCATTAGATTTGAAGCTCATGTCATCCAACAATACCATCAGTTTCTTGTTAATGAATATTAAAATTGAAAATTCCCTCTCTCTCTCTCTCTCTCTCTCTCTCTCTCTCTCTCTCTCTCTCTCTCTCTCTCTCTCTCTCAGCAATCTTGCAATGTTATTTCCTCTACATATACATAAAATAGGGCACTGAAGGTGGGAAATAACAAGCAATGTGATAGGAAAGTGGCATATGAAAAATGTGCTGATTTAATTGTGGCAGAGGTTGTCAAAAAGAGTTTTAAAATGCCATTCTGAAGGACTCTGAAGAGCAAAATGTAAAGGTAAATTAGTTACTTTCTTTATTCTATACAACAACTCAATGTAATATTATCATTTGGGGAGATTAAATGACTCATTAAGCTAATAATTGGTAGCAGTAAAAAATTAAAGACAGCTCTAACTCCAAATCCTGATTTTAAAATCTGAAGTGCTCTCACAAAAGGAGCAGGGTAGGGGTAAGGGGGAGAGATCAATCAAAGGACTTATATGCAAGCATATAAGCCTAACCAATGGACTTAGACACCAGGCGGTGAGGGTATGGGTGAGGAGTGGGGGGATATTGGGGGAATAAGGACACATTTGTAATACCTTAATCAATAAAGAAAAAAGAAATGTGTGGTGGGAAAGGAGCAGGTAAAAAGACCACTTTAAGATGCATTGCATTTACAAGATAAGCAGCAAAATAAAAGGAACAACAAAAGGAGAAAGATGAGACAAAAGAGATTATCTTATCATTGCACAACTCTTAAAATTATAAAGGATTTAACAGGTACATTTTTTAATAAATCATAGAAAATAGTATTTAAGAATTACATTTCATAAATTCAGGGTAAAGCAGCAAAACTTGGAAAATACAAAGCAAACATGAGAGAAAATGGCATAATAAATTATTCTATTGATAAAATTAGGAATTTTACTCGGTTCCATTAACAATTGGGCAATGTCCTTTAGGAAGAAGACAGAAATATCAACAAACAAGGCTTTTTGTTTATTTTTATTATCATGTAGCATTGTAACATGAGTTAAAGTTCTCATACGAAAGTGCATTTAAAGTGGATATGACAGATATGTGGTACTTATATGTGGGATGGAAGATGGGCTATAAAATTAAGGTCCATGAAATTGGTAAAAATCTAAGTGAGATCACTTGAGACTTTGCTAACAGCCTAAATTTCCTGGGAATAATAATGAAGTAGCTTAAAGTCCTAGGTAAGAGCATGAGCTTTAGAATCAGACTGGTCCATGAAAATCCTCATTCTACCATTAAAACATTTTTAAAATATTTTTTTATTGATTTCAGAAAGGAAGGAAGAGGGAGAGAAAGATAGAAACATCAATGATGAGAGGGAATCATCAGTCGGCTGCCTCCTGCACAGTCCACACAGGGGATCTGCACACCCTACACAGGGGATGGAGTCTGCAACCAGAGCATGAGCATGTCCCTGACTAGCAACCCAACTGTGACCACTTGGCTCATAAGTCGATGCTCAATCACAAAGCCAAGTCAGCTGAGCCTCACTCTACTATTTTTTAAACTAAGTCATAGCTACCAGTGTACCAAATCCCCGAGTCTTTTCCTTCATCTACAGACTTGGGCTGGTAATCACAGCATCCACATCATAAAGTTGATGTGCATATGGAGTAAGATAATATATGTGAAATATGTGACTTCACATTTGGTGTCTGATGAGCAATCAGCAGATTATAGTGAGAGAGAAACAATTGGGGGTAAGGGTTGACTTGGCAGAACCACCTCTTACCACCTCCGGATGTTCATTCAAGAAGTGGAGCTACAGTAAAATCATAATTTACAGTGAAGAGGCTGATTATGGTCTATGATAATTATCATTTGAGTTTGAAAGGAAAAGGAGGATAGGCTTCCAGGCTATTGTTCCCTTATTTGCAATACCTACATTCAGCCATTCTGTATTCTGGAGTCTCTCATATGCTCTCTCTTTCTCACTCACATACAAACTCACCTCTAATAGATCTATTTAGCTTACACGTCAACGATTTTTGCACATATTCTTGGACTCTGAAATTTATCTAGCATTTATTGAACATATATGTATTGGAGGTTTCCTTCTTGACAGGCATTATACTAGACTCTGCAGAACAAAACATATAGGAGCTTTTAATCTAGAGAAAAAAATTAAAAATGTAATATGTGAAGTAGCTATATAGTTAGGAAGACAAATAATTGTGGGATAGGGTTGTTCTTACTGACTGGTCTGAGGAAATTCAATTATGGTCAAATATGGAATTATGGAAAGCTGAGATTGGCTTTTTTTGTAGTGTTGGGTTAAGTTAGCTTTGAACATTCAGTTTGGGTTTAAATTAGGGTTATGGTGAGGGTTTGATTTTGAGTTAGAGTTAGAATTAGAGTTAAGGTTTAGGGTTAGTGTCAGTGTTGAGCTTATAATTAGCATTAGGGTTAGAGTTAATGTGAGAATTAATTTGAGGTTAAGTTTTGAGTTTAAATTACAATTAGGTTAGAGATGGGCTTTTAATCACATGCACAAAAGCATTTTAAAAGATCTACAAGAGTGAGAAAAGAATAAAAAAAAGACCTTCGGGGAAATTTGAGAGAAAAGAAGCAAGGCAATCCTGAAAATGTGATAATAAACTCAGTTCCTCTGCATGCAAATTCCTGGTTTCAGTCCCTCGTGGGGTCTAGCTACATTTCCTGACTATGAATCATTTCATTGTTTTACCCTTTGTGATTAAGCTGGGAATAGATTATTTGCAACCAAATGTTACATGAATATATAATGACATTCACATAGTGAAATAAGAGTTTTCAATTCGATGTGCACTTCATGGAAGTGCATACTGAGGTTCATGAAAATATATTAGGAAAGGAATATGAATGACATTTTCCGTTATTCAGATCTTTTCTCTTTTAGTCCTTCTTTAGTAAACTTGAATCTTGGATCCTCCCTTCCCTTAAGATGTTCTCCTCTCTACCAGTACTCCCCTAGACACACACACACACACACACACACACACATACACACACCAGCGTGCACACATGTACACACATGCGTAGGAGGTTTCCTGGGCTCATTCAAATGGATCCATTGTGGGAATACAGCATCAAATTTTCCTACATTTCCGGAAACTTCTGAATCATAAGATGACTATGATTTTTTATTAATCAAGGACATTTTTCATAAAAGGATAAACTTAAGAAAATGTCCTTCCTTACTATATTCTGAGAGAATTTGAGTACAATTACATAAAATTAGGAAAGAGTAACAATAAACTGATATAGGATGTCTCCAGCTTGTAGATAGAAAAGGAAGAAGAGAAGGAACAAATGTGATTGCTTTGCCACTTTCTCTAGACTTGGTTACTTGAGTTTTGGTTTCTCAGTTATCCTTCAACAGGAAAATAAATGTAGGAAACTAACTACTACCACTTAATATCCTATATAATAAAAGGTCAATATGCAAATCGACTGAACAGTAGAATGATTGGTCTCCATGATGCACACTGACCACCAGGGGGCAGATGCTCAATGCAGGGCGAGTGCCGCACAGCTAGAAGCCAAGCTCACTGCTGGGGAGTGCAGCAGTGGTGGCCGGAACCTCTTCTATCTCCACAGCAGCACTAAAGATGTCCGACTGCAGCCCTAAGCCTTCTGTTGGACATCCCCTGATGGATCCCGGACTGCAAGAGGGGCCCCCCCAAGTGCATAAATTTCATGTACCAGGCCTGTAGTTATATATATGTGTGTGTTTGTACACATATGTACTTTATGCAATTTATGTATATTGACTTTATATTAAATATATACACTAAAATTTTTGGACAGAGGATGATTTCTATTTTGTCAGCTTCATTGAAGTATAATTGACAAATAAAATTTGTATGCATTTAAAGTATGCAACTTGATATTTTAATACATGTGCACATTGTGAAATGATAACCACAATTAAGCTATAAACACTATACATACTACGTATCATATATACTACACACATTATATACCATTTGTGTAATAGTATATATGTATTCATATATGCTATATTACATATATTACTACCACACATAATATATAATATGTATTACAAATACTATGTACTATATATGATGTGCTTTGTATATAAATAAAGCATCAGATTTCCCGAAGTTACTCATCTGGCATAACTGAAACATTGTGCATGTTGACCAACATCTTTCTGTCTTCCCCTGTTCTAAGTCTTCGGCAACTTGCATTCTACTCTCTGCTTCTGTTAATTTAACTATTGTAGATTATACATGTAAAACATTTTTATATAACTATGAAGTATTTTAATAAATAGAGTATTATTTAATTTTCAACTTAGTATTTCCATAACTTTCAGAGAGTATATTAGTTTCTGATGACATTTTTTTAAATCTAGAAATTAAGAACAGATGAGAAATACCCCTACCCTGCATATTAAAATTCTAGGAATTTAAAAAAAATTCAATAATTCTCAAGAGAGAAAAAAAAATTAAAATTTGACCTATAAAGTATCCAGAAATAAATGGCAATGATAATGCATCATTTAAAACTTACGGAAGTCAGTCAATGTTTTACCAATTGAAAACATATTTTCTTTAATTTATTATAGGAGAAGAGAATAAAAACAAAGTACTACACAAGATGCTTAAAAGTAAAACAAATAAACATACAGGAAATATGAGACTAATTTATAATAAAGGCAAAATTAATGAAAAAGACAACATGGGCTTGGTAAATATATGCAAGTTCATTTATTTGAAACTGTGAATACAAAAAGTTAAGATAAAATGTAAACACTTTATGAAGGCTAATTAAGAAACGCCTACAATTTATGAAAATATATTCACACTTTTAATGTGTGATATTCTACAATATAATACAGTGTACACCCATGTATACTTATACACACACTCATCTATACTTATATGCTAAATAGTTATATTATGATTGTAATTAGCTAGTTAATATTAATAAAAGAAAGCAAAGGGGAGGCCAGACATTATAAGCATGGTCATCTGAGCAGTTTTACTAGGAAGCTGCAGTTTCACACTCCCCAGGCAGGGAACAACTGGTCCATTCCTTGAGATTACTGGGGGATAGGGTCTAACAAAGGGATAGGTGGGCACATGAGAAGGGGTGATGCCAGCCTGTCAGTCTGGCAGTGAAGGGGGTAAACCCCTTGAAATGTTGGAAAGTTAAATCCCTAAAGAGTTCTCTCTCTCTTGCTTGCTCTTTCTCTCTCTTGCTCTGTGGCCCGCACTCACCAAGGCACTCATATGTTCTCTCCCATTTGTCCTGTGGCCTTAAGCAGACACATGGTCCATCGCCATGCAAACCATGGATACTCCACATGCAGGCAATTGGAATGGGCTGGAATTTAACATGGAGCAGAAATTCGGGCCAGTGGCCTTAATTCTGGTCCTAAGGAAGACAAGACTGGACTTTCTCTAGGATGGGGGAAGGCCTGTTAACATGAGATTGCCAGGAAAAGCTCAGTAACATGTGTATCGGTGAAGAGAGGTTCATGTCCCCACCTGTTGCTCATGGGAGTTGGCTTCTTAAGATATCATAAGAAAATGCATTTTCTGAGACTTAAATGAGTGGATGAAATATTGTACAAAGCTTTACTTCTGTGGAATTAAACCCCTGAGTTTTGAAAGTCCCATTTCCCTCAGTTCCCCGCAAGGAGTAAGTCCCATTTTGTTGTTAGCAGGGCTAACATCAGAACCAGTGTCCAGAGCTTCCATTCCATGTCTGCACAGCCCAGTACAGCATCAGGCTACCTTAATTTGTGTTTCCCATTGCAGCCCATTCAGCCATTGCATGTGGGGTCTGCATGGCTACATGGCTATGAAAAGAACACAGGCAGAAACAAAACCAAAGGAACCAGAGAGCTGAGAGAGTCAGGAGCCAAGAGCAAAGAGCCAAGGACCAAGAGAGTGTGTGCTTCTTTTTAAGGGGATTATGTATTCCCAAATTTCACTGGGTTGGAGTGGCCTTGCCTATTTTGGCCAATGAGCTCTGTTTCCAGGTTTGACTGACAGGCATCTTTCATAGTCATCACAACTCACTGTACACATAGTCACCTCCTCTTTGTTGAGCTCCCTTCCCCTGGTGATCTGTGGGAAATGGGCCGGTGGTTCCTTGGGGAGAGGGAGCTGGGTGGTGAAACTGCCCAACTGACATGCCTATAATGCGTGGTCTTCCTTTTGCTCCTTTTCTGTTATTAATAACCAGCTAATTACAAAGGTATCACAAGTAACAAGACTATAGCTGTTATGCAAATCTAAACGCTTTCCTTCCCCATTAGTAAGTTTCTAGAGATTTAGTCATATTTTTTCTTCCTGGCATAGAGAGGGCAACATCTATATAAATGGAGATTTCTCTTACAAATGTCAATGTATCTTATGAAAGGGTAGCTTCTACTTGATTTGCAGAGCCTCCCCTCTGCCCCCTGTTTCTTAAAAATAACCAGCTCTTAGCCAAAGGCATATTTTGAAGTTGCAAACTTTGCTGTTCTTCAATTTTAGCAATAGCAAAGTAATTAACATTTTATGTGTATATCTTCTGTGTACCTCGCACTTATAAATGCAAGTTCCGCTCTCTCTGTGTCTCTGAAAGTAGAAGATTAATTAATTATAAATATTTGTGCCAATTTAGGTGTATTCAGTAAAGAAAACATATTTCCCATCCAAAAAGAGCATATTCATGAGATTTAAATAACTTAAGAAGTTTTTATATAGTATGGATAGTAATGAGGATGTTCAAGAGAATTTCGTTGATTTGTATAGTTACTATAAAAATGAACTTCAATCTATGTGGAAATATAGAAGAATTTTTTGGTTTCTCCAGAGAAATATGAAGGTTTATGAGTGAGTTACTTTTATGTCTCCTTACTCAAAGAAAAGTAAGAAATTCTTGGATAAACAAAAAATAGGTAAAGTCTAGAAGTAAGGAGAAGCCTCAATGCTGATAAGCTATTGAAAAACAAAATTGGCCCTAATGGTTTGGCTCAGAGGATAGAACATCAGCCCACAGAATGAAGGGTCCTAGATTAGATCCAGGTCAAGGGCAAGTACTTCCACTGCAAGCTCCATCCCTGGCTCTGGTTGGAACTTGTGTGGGAGGCAACCAAAGGTCTCTCTCACATGGATGTTTCTCTTTTTCTGTCTTTCCCCCTCCCTTATACTCTCTCTAAAAATCAATGGGAAAATATCCTAGGGGTGAAGATTATCAAATAAATAAATATTTTTGTTTTTAAAGAAAAGGAAAGAAAAACAAAGTTGTGTCCCCTAAGTTAATTCATAACATGACTGGCCTAGCACCACAAAAAATATCATATGATGAGACAGAAAGAAAGCTATCTATAAATTATACTACAGTTCTTTAGTTTGATAAGATTATAGGTGCTACACTATAACCCAACTGAGGTGAATGAAATGGTTCTTTGTTCCTGACCTCGACAGCTGAGCTAATGATAGCAAAAGGAGAATATTTCTGAAAGTGCAATAGAGTTATATTCTCAGGGGACCTACGAGGCTTCAAGACGGCATTAAATTATAAGTCTTAAAATAGAATATGGTTTTGGTTTTGCTAAACCAAGTAAGGAGATTTCTGTGAATTAATCAACACCTCTTGTCATATCTATGCAAATGAAATTGGTCAAATAAAGCATACAGATACTTGACAGCCAGGGACCAAGGGAATAAAGCTAACACATTATCCTGCCAAATTAGCAATAAGCATGAACAGCATGCCCTTTGGTGGGAACTGAGTGGTTTATCTCTTTTCACCCCAAGATAAACCCAAAATATCAGAGCTTTTATTTTAGTTCCCAAATTAAGTTAATCCCTAGCTTTTTTTCCTATAAATTATTGATTACCTAAGGAAAACAATTTTATCACTGACTTTTTAAATTCTGGAATCTGTAGGTATATCACATAGCCTCCTTTATAAATAGAATAATCATGAGACTTTTCCCCCCCAGATCTTAATAATAAACTAAATGGTAAAACTGTGGTTTCCCTCCTTGGAATGCCACTTGTGCTTTCCACAAGAGTTTTGAAGATATTTATTACTCAGTCCCTCTGAGTTTGACATACTTGCATTTCTGGTAAATACATTTCTATTTTTTAAATTATTTTGTCCCAGAATCATACAAAGCTAATAAAAATTCTGGAAATGAAGTTGAGAACGTGGCTCAGAAATAACTGCTGAAGCCCAAAGTGTCTTGACCCACACGTGAAAAGAACAGAACAGCTGCAAGAAGGACCCTGACTTACAGAAAGAAGCCAAGGCTACACAAAACCCACAGGCCGGTCCAACAGAATTAGAACAATCACAGCCAAGTAGCCCAGATTCCTCATTGCAGCCCTGTCCATCCTTCGCCATAGACATGACGCTCTTCTGGCCTAAATCTAGCTCAACTTGTGTTTTTCCCTTAAAACTAAGAGAACCCAGACTTATAAAAACAATATGGTATATCCATAAGTTTGTGAAAGGTTCAGAGTGAGGGAAGCAGTTTCAGGGAAGTCGAAAGAAGCTAATTTGACCTTGTGTCATAAGCTGGAACAAGAAAACAACTTAAACCAATTTGACCAAGGACTGTTGCTAAAGCCTCACATATGAATACTATTGAAGTAGAGGCTTTACATCTGATTTGTTCAAGATTCATTTTCATTTGCACATTCAGTATGACTACTGACAAGCAGCCAAATTCTTTTCCAGAGAGGTTGCACCAGTAGGTATCAATGAGTTCCTTTCCTCAGAAGGCAATGAATAGCTGAAACCAGTTTGGCTCAGCCTACAGACTGATAGGTCCCAGGTTCGATTCCAGTCAAGGGCATGTACTTTGGTTGTGGGGGGCACATCCCCAGTAGGGAGTATGCAAGAGGCAGCTGATCAATGATTCTCTCTCATCAATATTTCTAACTCTCTATCTCTCTCCCTCTCTGTAAAAAGTCAATAAAATATATATTTTTTAAAAAGGCAATAAATAGTTAAGTGTTCAATATTTGTTCAAAATGATTATTTTAATAATTTAAAGGCACCATTGGCTATAAGTTCAGATCAGATATTTTTGACTCAAATATAGTTACCAGCCATATGTCCTTTGTCAATTGTCCTTAGTACTCTTCATATACCAATTCCCTCAGTTGAGAAGTAAAACTATAGTAGTACCTATACTATAGAGTTGTGGAGGAAAAAAGGAAGAGAATTACTCAGTGTATATGAACAAAAAAGTGAGAGGGAATGAGGAGGAAAAATGATAAGAGAACAGAAAATGTATTCGAGAGACAATTAAAATGTATAATAAATAAGTAGAAAGGATTTAAATAAAAACTGATAGTATAATTTTTATGAACATCCAAACTTAAAGGTTTGGATGAGGGGCTCTGAGGTTTTAGTGCACATTCATAACACAAGAATATGTGATATAAAGTCAAATTCCAAGAGGTTACTGCCAGAACTTCTAATTTAATGTGTGTTTCTAACACCAGTAGAACCTCAAGTGATTCAATGGATAGAAATAGGAATGCTATGTAAAGAGTCTGAGTAGCTGAACTTTAGATATTATTATTTCTACTTGATGGTGCCTTATAAATAGAAACAAGTGCTGAAAGTTTTATTTCTGGATTCTTTATTCTGTCCCATTGCACCATTCGTCTATGTTGCACAAAATATTACACTGTCCTTATGTGATTTGTTGGGTAATGCTTTCATATCTATTGGTATAAAAATCACAGCCCTGTTTTTTTTTTCTATTGACTTTTTATGACAATGTGCATTTCAATAGAAAATTTAGAATCAGCTTGCCAATATCTATAAAAATCTACTGAGAGTCTGATAACTATTACACAGTAACTATAAATCACCTTGGAAAAATTGATATCTTTGCATTAGTAAGTTTTCTAATCAATAAAACTAGTACTTAAGAAATCTATAATTAAATTATGTAAATTCAACAGTAATTTATCAATAATATTGAATATAACACTATAAATAAATTCAACTATATTTTTCTATGTAAGAAAATTAAATATGCATTTTATAACAATTATTATGATTTGAAGTGTTTTTTAAATTTTATCACCAAGTCAATCAAACTTTCTCAATTACTTAGTTTGCACTGTAAGCATTTATTTTTATTGAACTACTAGAGGCCCAGTGCATGAAATTCATGCACAGGGCCTGATGGTGGGGTGTCCCTCAGCCCATCCTGAACCCTCTCCAATCTGGGACCCCTTGAGGGATGTCTGACTGTCCGGTGGGATCAAGCCTAAATGGGCAGTTGGACATCCCTCTCACAATCCAGGACTGCTGGCTCCCAACTACTCACATGCCTGCCTTCCTGATTGCCTCTAATCGCTTCTGCCTACCAGACTGATTACCCCCTAATCACTCCTATGACAGTCTGATTGATGTCTAACTCCTCCCCTGCCTGCCTGTTTGCTCCCAACTTCCCTCCTCTGCTGGTCTGGTCAGCCCTAACTGCCCTCCCCTGTAGGGTTGATTGCCTCCAACTGCCCTTTCTTGCAGGTCTGGTCCCTCTCAACTGCCCTCACTTACAGGCCTGTTCCCTCACAACTGCCCTCCCCTGCTGGCCATCTATGGTGGCCATCTTGTGTCCACATGGGGGCAGCTATTGTGTGTTAGAATGATGGTCAATCTGTATATTACTCTTTTATTAGATAGGATAGAGGCATTGTGCATGGGTGGTGACCAGCTGGTTTTCCCTGAAGGATGTCCCGGATCAGGTTGTCCTTTGGGGTGTGGGGTAGCCTAAGCAAGAGGCCTGTGGTGGTTTGCAGTCGCCCCTGGGAACCCAAGTGAAGGCCCTGGCATCTGGAATTTATTTACCTTCTACAATTGAAACTTTGTACCTGAAGCGGAGCCAAGCCTCCAGCTCACTCCATGGCTGTAGCCATTTCTGTTTGGATTTGTTTACCTTCTATAATTTAAACTTTGTAGCCTTGAGTGGAGGCTTAGGTCGGCTAGGGCAGGCCAGGCGGAAAGCTTGGCTTCTTCCATTGCCTGGGAAACCTAAGCCTCCCTCCTGCTCTCTGTGGCCATAGCCATCTTGGTTGGGTTTATTTGCATACTTGCTCTGATTGGCTGGTGGGCATATCTTGTAGGTGTGGCTGGTAGGTGTAGTGGAATAATGGTTAATTTGTGTATTACTCTTTTATTAGGTAGGAGGTACGGTATTTCTGAATATATATATATATATATATATATATATATGATAAAATTAAATAATGGAGAAAAAGATATAATAAGTAGGAATAAAGAACACTTTCTCTAAAATTTTGAAAAATCGCAATGCTGAATATTTTTAAATCTTCATGATTTTTTTTAAGTTTTAAATGTTTCTAATAAGTCAGTCAATGTTAAATCAGTTGTATATATTAAAGCCTGTTATTCCATAAATTTCTATATGCATGTATACTTGTGTAATGACACATTCTACTGCAAAATTATTTTTAACAATAATTTTAAGTTGATTTTTTTGCATTCATATATGCGTGCACACAGGCACACATATAGGCAAAAGAATTTTCTATATACCTTCATAAATGAATCAATATCTTAGTTAAAATAATAAAAATGATCTCTTTAACCAAATAACTTGTATGCATATATGCTATGGACACAGACAATAGGGTGGTGAAAGCCTAGGACAGAAAACCAGGACGGACTAGAAGGGGTGACTGGGGGATAAAGGGAGGCGTATGCAATAATTTCAACAATAAAAATTTTTAGAGGGAGGGTGGGGATAAAAGGGAGAGATCAACCAAAGGACTTGTGTGCCTACATATGAGCCTAACCAGTGATCAAGGACAATAGGGGGTGGGGGCATGAGTGGGGAGGGGTGGGGGATTGAAATGGGGGTTGAGGACAAATATGTGATACCTTAATCAATAAAGAAATTTTAAAAAAAGATTTTTTAAAAAAAGAAAAAAGAAAAAAGAAGACCAAATATATAAAACTATCAATTAAACATTTTGCATCTGAATATACAAAAATTGTAATCCAAAAAGCAATAAGAAAAACAACACTTTAGATCTTGATGCTATCAGGAAGACACACAAATGCCAAAATATTTTTTAAATAATATTGATGGATAACCTTCACACTTTTGCAGAGTTAAATAAATTGTACGTCTCTAATAGCTTAAAATATAAATTCTGGACTATGCTGGTCAGACACAGAAATGAAACAAAATGAAATGGAAAAAAAAATAAGTGCGTATATGTGTGTGTGTGTGTGTGTGTGTGTGTGTGTGTGTGTGTATGAGTGTGTTTTCCTATTTGCATATGCACGTGGTAGGCTTTCTAGAACACTGTTGAATATTAAATATGCAAATATGGAAACAGTAGCAAAGAAGTCTTAATTGTGTTTGCATGGTTTTTAAAATTATTTGTAAAATGATATTAGGTTGTATCTAAATGTAAAAATTAGAAAATATAAAATAAAATATGGTGTTTAGATGTTATATCTTTGCTCTTACATAATGGGAATATAATGAAGGTAATCATATAAAATGAGATTAGATTTGTTGAGTTAAGAAAAGAATTTTTTTTAAATATATTTTTATTGATTTTTTTACAGAGAGGAAGGGAGAGAGATAGAGAGCTAGAAACATCTATGAGAGAGAAACATTGACCAGCTGCCTCTTGCACACCCCCTACCAGGGATGTGCCAGCAACCAAGGTACATGCCCTTGACTGGAATCGAACCCGGGACCTTTCAGTCCACAGACCGAGGCTCTACCACTGAGCCAAACCGGTTTCGGCTAAAAAAAGATTTTTTTTTCATATCTATTATTTTATTTTTAATTTTAAAAAAATTTAAAGGTATGGATCTCTCTCTTTTTCTTCTTCTATCATTATTGATTAAGGTATTACATGTGTCTTTATCTCCCCACTGACCCTCCACCCCTCTACCCATGCTCTCACTGCCCTGGTGTCTACATCCATTGGTTAAGCTTATATGCACGCATACAATTCCTTTAGTTGATTTCTCCCCACAAACCCCCATCTTCCCCTACCTTCCCTCTGAAGTTTGAAGTTGCACTAGGTGCTGTATTGGTAAATATATTGCTTCAGCATATGTCTGAGATTTTGCTGCCTGTGGATTCCTCTATTATTTTTATGGTTTCCTGTCTTATGTTTAAATCTTTTATCCATTTTGAGTTTATTTTTGTATATGGTGTAAGTTGGTGGTCTAGTTTCATATTTTGCATGTACCTGTCCAATTTTCCCAACACTATTTATTGAAGAGACTGTATTGACTCTGTTGTATGTTCTTGCCTCCTTTGTCAAATATTAATTGAGCATAGTGGTTTGGGTTGATTTTGGGGTTCTCTATTCAATGCCATTAGTCTATATGTCTGTTCTTGTGCC